GGGAAAAGCAGGGTAACGAAGGACGTATGTCACAATGACTAGGGAGAAGAAGAAAAAAGATGAAGATGTCCGAGTAGTCGTATAAAAAAGATATGAAGAACTAGGATCTGATATCTTTGAGGAGTATTTCCTAATTGGGATCATTGGCCACGCTTTTGGGCTCGATTGACAGAAAAGCGTCATATTTGTTCTGCGTCATATATAAAACTCCACCTTTTCTCTACTACCATGGCATCCTCCCCAACAGATTCCCCTCAACCACATACAAATCGTAACATGGATTTCGGAAAGGGCGGTCATCTCGTCGTCGTCTCTAATCGTCTCCCAGTTACCATCAACAAAGATGCGAATGGCGAGTACCACTTTAAAATGTCTTCGGGTGGTCTCGTATCAGCTCTCTCTGGTTTCAAGAAATCACTCAACTTTACCTGGATCGGATGGCCTGGTTTTTTCATTCCACCAAAGGACCGTCCTCTCGTCGATAAACGTTTAATGGAGGAGTATTCATGTCAAGCTGTCTATCTAGACGATGACGTAGCTGATCGCCATTATAATGGTTTCTCCAATTCAATCCTCTGGCCACTGTTCCACTATCACCCCGGAGAGATGAATTTCGACGAGGAGAACTGGAATGCATACCGTCAGGCCAATATGCAGTTCGCAGATGTTGTTCGCCAGCAGATCACCCCGGGCGCTATGGTATGGGTCCAGGATTATCATCTGATGCTCCTCCCCATGCTTCTTCGTGGTATCATCGACGGTCCTGAAAATGTCGGACGCTTCACCAAGACAGAATTGGCCACAATAACAGAAGGGATTGACGCAACTGCTCTTACCAGCAACCCATCTGAACCTATTCCCGGTGTTAAAATCGGCTTCTTCCTCCATACCCCCTTCCCCAGTAGTGAAATCTACAGGTGAATACCATTCAGTTCATTATTATCCTCTAAATACTCACGAAAAGAGCATAGAATCTTGCCTGTCCGTCGGGAGATCTTACTTGGTATCTTGTACTGTGACCTCATCGGCTTCCACACCTATGATTATGCCCGACACTTCCTCTCCTCTTGCACCCGCATTCTCTCTCTTCCAACTATGCCCAACGGCGTAGAATTTGAGGGCAGACTCGCCCATGTTGGTACATTCCCCATTGGAATTGAACCCAGCAGCTTTATCCAGGTAACAAAACCAGCCGATTAAACCAAGTGTTCAGGAGCTCACCTTTCCCCATTCAGAATCTTCAAAAGCAGTCCGTTAAGGACAGAATTGCTCAACTCGAACAACGCTTTGGAGGCGTGAAGGTCATCGTCGGTGTCGATCGCTTGGATTATATCAAGGGTGTGCCGCAGAAGCTACATGCCCTTGAGCTCTTCCTCAGCCAACATCCGGAATGGATCGGCAAGGTATATACACATCCTTCGGACTTACTTCACCAGTGACTGACGTTTCACTTGGCTACAGGTCGTCCTTGTCCAGCTGGCAGTGCCATCGCGTCAAGATGTCGAGGAGTACCAAAATTTACGATCGACCGTTAATGAGCTTGTTGGACGAATCAACGGCCGCTTTGGAACTGTGGAGTTCATGCCGATCCACTTTATGCACAAGTCGCTCGCGTTCGATGAACTGTGTGCACTCTACGCTGTCAGTGACGCATGCCTCGTTTCAAGTACGCGCGACGGAATGAACCTTGTGAGGATTGTCCAATTATACACAGCCTTGATACGTACTAACGTCCTCTACCAGGTGTCTTACGAGTACATCGCATGCCAGCAAGACCGTCAGGGTGTTATGATTTTATCCGAATTTGCTGGCGCCGCTCAGAGTCTAAACGGATCTATTGTCGTTAACCCTTGGGACTCGCAACAAGTCGCCGACGCTATCCATGAGGCTGTCACAATGGACGCCGAGACACGGGCAGAGAATCACCGTAAACTGTTCAAGTACGTCAACAAGTACAGCGCTGCGTTCTGGGGAAGTAGTTTCATCAGGGAAATGAGCAAGATTGAGCTTGAAAGTGCAGCCAAGGAGGCGTCCGGATCTCAGGAGACGAAGGCTTAGCAGCAGAAGGTTTGCTTCATGTAACCCCATGCTTCGCAGAAGTGATCATTGTGTCGGAAAATATCGAAACTTCGCACCATACTTATTTCTGTCATTTATACCACCATCACTTTGCTCCTTTTCCTTTTTTTGGTTTGCCTTGAATAGATTCGACCATGCATGATTGCCCTTCTTTTGTAGACAACTGTACGAACTGCTTTTAGTGTCTGTAACTCTCAATTTATTGCCCCAGTAGCATATTTCATTTATGTATGGCTCACGCTCCCTTGGGTTTATATAACATTTCAGTTTCTGTGATTCTTAAATAATCACGCATCATCAGACAGTCTTCTATTTTAGGTATTTCTAATACTATATTTAGACATATGGATTAGGAGCCGACACTTCCAAGTTGTTGAGAGAATGTTTGAACTTCTTCAACTCTTCGCCAATTACAGAATACTGGGGGTTTACACGCATCTGATACTTCTTACTTGACCTTGACATGGGCTGCACATCTCGGTCCTTTTACGAAGATGAGAGAGAGAAGACGGATTTAGATTACCGCACAGCCTTTTTGACATGTTTAGCACACGTGCCACGTTAACCAAGAGTTGCTCCTTCTCCGGAAACCTCCACGCAGCTTGAGCATTGTTGATTGCCTTGAGGAACGTTCGTGACTCTGACTTCCGCCGTTTCAACTGACGCCGCTGTGGCGCACATCAGAGCGTGAACCTGCAGGTTTCAATCTGCTGCAGTGACATGCTTCATGAATCATGAGAAATCAATGATAGTATGGGATATTTTATTTGGAAAGGTGGGAGCAAGCTCCCCAGAAAATGTGTTATATCTGGTCACCGTGCGCTGTATCTGCATCTGATGTTTCCCCATTGCGCCACTTCTCCGATGGATATACATGGTAGATAGGATCCTGCATCACTATGGAGCATTCCAGCCGTATTGCGGGTCTACGTCACATTTCTTGCATGTGCGAGGCAATCGGTTCGTGTGCATTTGTCCCTCGTTTTTATGTCAAAGATACGGCAGCTGGTGCGGGTTTAAACCAAGGGCAGTCGATGGAGTACATATGGTCCAGCCATTTCCCAACCTCATGTCCGCCTTCGAATTATGTTCCTTTACTGCTCGGCGGAAGACGTTGCGGTTTGACAACACGTCTACTGCATGCAGATTTATATACACTTCTGTGAAGTGGCACAACTGTGTTGTCCCACAAGGGACAAAAAAAGCAAGGATATTGACACTGTGATGCCCAGAGCAAGGAAAAAGATATCCAGGGAATGCTCATTATCCGTCACTGAGCATTTCACAGGAGGGAGTCTTATTCAATTGAAATGCCCAAGTTCATATCAGATTATTCTGGATTCCGGAAATGACCTTCTATTTCCACCCTACTGGGGTGTAAAGGAAGATTGAGGCAGTGTATATCACCATTTCTGTGTTCCAAGATTACGAAGTCTCCATGCTATAGAACCACAATACAAAACGCTCTCAAATGAAGCTGGGAGATAGGTACAAGGGATTAATCATGCAAAACAGCTGTTTATCTAACAATCAATAGGTAACATCATAACTTGAAGTAGCCAATTCGGAGTTCTCGGAAGCGCTTATCAAACATCGTCCGTGTATTAAACGCCCACGTAGTAAAGATTCTACTGCAGGGGTACGCAACTCATCCGACGCGTAATTCTTGCATTGTGCCTAGCCGAATGTGTCCTACCGCCATATTCTCCCATATACTTCCAAAAAGCTTAGATCGTTAATGAGGGATAACATCGCCAAGCGAAGCTGTGTGGGGTATTCAGTTGAAATGTCAAGAGCATGTCAAGGTGTCCCTCCCCCGTTTAATACTGAATGACGCAAAAGCAAGACAGATTATGAAGTATACCACCCTTTATCTAATTCATTAGGTTAAACAAAATGGCTGTCAAGTACCTATCAGGCAACAGTGATTCTACGGGATATTCAGGGGCTTTTTCGGCTTTTGAACGTTTGAGGGACAGGCCACTGCCTCGACCAAATCTGTAGGGTGGTTCTGTCGGAATGGAGGTTTAAGAAGTTTGAACCGAGAAGTTTTCAGCAGCCCAGTCATCTTTATTTTTGGGATTGAGGCAGAGAAAACCGGATAATGTCACCATTGACATACGGAAGGCATTCCGACTGGGGTCGATTTAGCCGGATGCACAGCGGTATCGCCATACATCACTGCACGGAATCTAGTCATTCCAAACGCACCTCGAATCACCGACACTGTGCGCCCCGCCAGGATGAAAATCATGCCCGTTACACGACGCACGAAACTTTAAATAAATGACATTACACCATTTCAAACCGAGTAATCAATGGAGTCGCGAGTAGTCAAAGCGGAGGCAGACACTGCCTTGGTCGGTGTCTCAACAGCCGCCCTAGCTAATGCGCCCACAGGTCACGTCCGTCTTGATCGATAGGTTCGAGTCTACGTTCTTTACCAAGCAAACCTTATGCAAGTACTGGGTTCATTGGGCTTCGAAACCCAGATTAATGGAACAAGCTTTGGCTGGCCAACTACGGAGAGTAACCCTTAAGCCAGTAACTCTCGAGGCGGTGTGGGAGCAAGTAGAACACTTGTTAAATCTTCGAAGTCATGAGGTTCGCGGCGATAACTGGACTGATGCCTTTAAATCTCGATGTGGAGGCGTCGACATTTGATTAGTGGTGTATTCTGCGGATGTCTGTGTCGATGTGTATATTTTCCGCCGTCGTGTGAGCAATAAGTGGTGGCTCAGCTCGACTCAAGGTAGTAGTATCCACATATCGAAAGATATGTATTCTACGGAAACCGATAGAATGAAGTGAATTTTCGCCTGTAGTGGGTATGTATAGGCCCCACTCGAAAGCAACAATGGAAGGCCGGTTGAAAGTTGAATTCCACGAGCATGAAATAATGATTGAGAAGGACAAAAAATCGACAGGCCCGGGGGTCGAACCCGGATACTTCAGCTGGCCTATAACTAAGTCTTTGAGACTTAGATTCCGGAAACTGACGCGTTGCCATTACGCCAACCCATCCATGTCCGCCTAGCGGCTATAGTCCAGCCAGAAAGCATGACCATGACATCGGGGATCTCAGACATAGGAGTATGCGCAGTTTGAAAATTGTACTGAATGTCGATATGGAAAACCCGGATGTATTCATGTGTTCCATGCAATTCCAATGTTAGACAGACATGTGTGTGTACACATTGGCGTCGTCACTCTTGTGACTTGCCAGGTATCATAGAAGATTGCGCGAAAATCGCCGTGGAAATCCATGACCAGTTGCATTGCAAGTGACGCTTCTGGAAGTCTGACGAGTAGATTCAAGGGGGATGTCAGCAGTGAATCGAGGGGCTTGGAGCCACTAAAATGGCCGATGTTGATGATGTGACATGACGGTCATAGCTATGTATTGGTATACGAAATATGTGAACTACATCCAAATTTGGTAGTGTATAGATTTGCGTGTTTGTATAGTGAGTAGTTCTATACTGAAGAAAAATCGAAATAAATAAATAAATCTCAAGCTGCAGTCAAGAGGCCTTACTAGGTACGTGTCTTTCATATCTTTCCAAGTCAATTGAATGAGTGGAGGAGCTGAGGACAGCCTGTGATCATAACGTTGTAAAAGGCTGTGCTTGCCAAGACGGGCAGTGCATGGTATATGAAGGGAATGTTGAATAGTTGTGTCTTGTTTCCCAACCACAATATCCCGACAATGGCAGGAGGTGATGAACCTTCCAATATCCCTGCTATCATCACAACAGACTTATCTTCAAGTTCAAATACGAACTTGAATCAACCTTCTCCACATTCTGGTGGTTTTCTCTCTCCCGGCGGTTCTTCTTACCCATATGGTTTACCTTCGCCTGCTCCTTCAGAAAACTCAGAGTCTGGTTCGATACCCCCTTCGCCGACAATTTCAGTTCATACACCAAACTTCCCCACATCAGTAAAGCTACGCGAAAATACGCCAAATGAACACTCTGGTCTATCATCACTACAGTTACTCGACCCCTCTTCGGCACACCAACCGCGTAAAGGCAGCGTGTCTTCATTGACAGAAGTAGAGGGTCCCCAGTCTCGGTCTGATATTGCTTTGCGGCACGTCCCTTCGACCACAACGACCGTGACTCATGTTGACACTCGTTCCCCCACCAGTGACGACAAGGATGCTAAACCTCGTAAAGACTCGAAAAAGCAGAAGGACCCAGAAGAAGGCAAGACAACTCATCAACTCGAGCTCGCTCAGGATGAGGCAATAAACCCTGCCCCATTCCATTTCAAGCCTTACGCGCTTGCTCACATGCTCGACCCTAAGAGCCTTGAAACTCTTACTGGCTTTGGTGGTCTCACTGGCATCGTCAGCGGTCTGGGCACCAACATCGAAACAGGTCTTTCAACGAAGTCAGAACCTCAGCATACCAAGGGCGCAGGCGTTGGTGCTTCCCATAGACATGAATCAGAAAAGGTACTCAATGACAATGAGAAGGTTTCCGACGTCCCCACCACCCATCACGAACATCATGGTGGAGGCGGTGACAAAGACCCTTTCAACGCCACTATCACCGACAGGCAGCGTGTCTTCGGCGCAAACCTCTTACCTACCCGCGTCAGCAAGACACTACTTCAGCTCATGTGGGCTGCCATGAAAGACAAAGTTTTGGTGCGTCATTCATCCCTTCATTTGTCGTGTCACCATTAACCATATATCTAGATTCTTCTATCAATCGCTGCCGTCGTATCTCTTGCTCTCGGTTTCCTCCAAGATTTTGGACCTGGCAGAAACCCAGATGAACCACCCGTCGATTGGGTCGAGGGTGTCGCTATTATGATCGCCATTGCCATTGTTGTACGTTGATACCCGCGCCATTATTCTTTGCTCTTTCGAGGCTGATATTCTATTTCATCCTAGGTTGTTGTCGGTTCGTTGAACGATTGGCAGAAGGAGCGTCAATTCGCTGCGCTGAATGAGCGAAAGGAAGAGCGTACTGTCAAGGTTATCCGTGACGGCCTGGAAAAGCTTGTTGACATCAAGGCACGTTGCATCACGAGAGTTCTCATGTCATACGCAGCTCATCTCATAAATTTTAGGATATCGTTGTTGGCGACATTGCCCTTATTGAACCTGGTGAAATCATTCCTTGTGATGGTATCTTCATTTCCGGCCACAACGTCAAGTGCGACGAGTCTGGTGCCACCGGTGAATCCGACACAATTAAAAAGATCCCCTACGACGAATATCTTGCTCTTGCAAAGGACGGCGATGCCAAACATCAGGATTGTTTCATGATCTCTGGTAGTAAGGTTCTCGAAGGTGTTGGAAAGTATGTCATAGTCGCTGTCGGCACCAAGAGTTTTAACGGACGCATCATGATGGGTAAGAGTTCTTTTACTCCACCAATAAATGATACTGACCTCCATATGAATAGCTTTGCGGGGTGATACGGAAAATACGCCGCTTCAACACAAGCTTAACAACCTCGCCGAACTCATCGCCAAGATTGGTTCTGCAGCCGGTCTATTGCTTTTCACTGCTTTGATGATCAGGTTTTTCGTCCAGCTTGGCACAGGGAAACCTCCCCGGTATGTGCATTATCCCATTTAAGTATTTAGCCTCCAATTAACAGACCCATAGAAACGCTAATGAGAACGGCATTGCCTTCGTTAATATCCTCATCATTGCGGTTACCTTGATTGTCGTTGCCGTTCCAGAAGGTAAATTAATTTTTTTTCAATTTCGCTAACAAGGTTAAGCTCACCTGAACGCAAAGGTTTACCACTGGCTGTCACACTGGCGCTTGCTTTTGCAACTAAACGAATGACATACGAGAACCTCCTCGTTCGTGTGCTTGGCTCCTGCGAGACTATGGCCAACGCATCCGTCATCTGCACAGACAAAACTGGTACCTTGACACAAAATTCCATGACAGTCGTCGCAGGCTCGGTTGGCATCCACGCTAAATTTGTTCGACAACTCGGCGAAAATGCAGCGCGCACCAACGCTGAAGAGACAGAGCAATCCAGTTCCGCTCGCAAACATCCCCAGGATTTCTCTCTCGATCAGGCTAACCTGAACGATGTGCTTTCCTCCCAGGTTCAAGAACTTTTTAATGAAGCGATCGCTGTTAACTCCACTGCTTTCGAGGATACTGATCCAGAGACTGGCAAGCTTGTCTTAATTGGTAGCAAGACCGAAACGGCTCTTCTCGAGTTCGCTCAAGAACTCAAGTGGAAGAATTTCAAGCAAACTAGGGATGCTGCCAAAATCATTCAGATGATTCCGTTCTCATCAGAGCGCAAAGCTATGGGTGTCGTCATTCAACGTCCCGATGGTCGTTACCGCGTTTACTTCAAGGGTGCTTCGGAAATCCTTGCAAAGAAGTCGACCAAACACATCGTTGTCAGCCGTGAGCCTACCGCTGACGATGAGGTCATAACCAAGGAGATCGACAACCTCGCTCGTGACAACATTAGCCGCACCATCATCTTCTATGCCAACCAAACCCTTCGTACTATTGCTCTCTGCTATCGGGATTTCTCGTCATGGCCACCTCGTGGCATGTCCGTTGATGATCAAGGCGATGTGAGTTGTTTTGTCCCGCATTAACTTCGTGTGCTAATTTACATGTTCAGGTTCCTTTTGAATCTCTATCTGAAGAATTGGTCTTGATTGGCATTACTGGTATTGAAGACCCTCTGCGTGATGGTGTCCGTGATGCAGTCATCAAATGTCATCGTGCTGGTGTCACTGTCAAAATGTGCACGGGTGACAACGTCCTCACCGCTCGTTCAATTGCTACCCAATGTGGTATCTTCACCCCTGGAGGCATCATTATGGAAGGTCCCGTTTTCCGCAAGCTCACCCAGCCGGAGATGATCGAAATCGTTCCTCGCTTGCAAGTCCTTGCACGTTCTTCTCCAGAAGATAAGAAGATCCTCGTAGAGACCCTCAAGATGATTGGCGAGATTGTCGGTGTTACTGGTGATGGTACAAATGACGGCCCCGCGCTTAAAACCGCTAACGTCGGCTTCTCTATGGGAATTGCTGGTACTGAGGTCGCTAAAGAGGCTTCGGACATCATTCTCATGGATGACAACTTTGCGTCAATCGTCAAGGCCATCATGTGGGGTCGCTGTGTTAATGACGCGGTCCGCAAATTCTTGCAATTCCAGATCTCCACGAACGTCACCGCCGTTATCATCACCTTCGTTTCAGCCGTTGCGTCCGAGAAGGAAGAATCTGTACTCACTGCTGTGCAACTTCTTTGGATCAACATCATCATGGACACATTCGCTGCTCTCGCTCTCGCAACTGATCCAGCCACTGAACTGCTTCTGAATCGTAAGCCCGAAAAGAAGACTGCCCCTCTCTTCAGCGTCGACATGTACAAAATGATCTTGATGCAGTCTGTCTACCAAATCATCATCATCCTTCTCTTCCACTTCAAGGGTGTTGATATCTTGGGCTTTGAGCACGACGAACACCACGAGAAAGTTGTCCGCACCTTGGTCTTCAACGCCTTCGTTTTTGCACAAATTTTCAACTCGATCAACTGTAGACGCCTGGATAACAAGCTCAATGTCTTCGAGGGTATCATTCGCAATCGCTTCTTCATCGGTATCACCCTTCTTGGTAAGCTTGTGTCATGTTCTAGTATCTGTCCTTGACACTAACGAAGACCTTCAGAAATTGTGGTTCAAGTTGTCATTGTCTTTGTTGGCGGCGCTGCCTTCCAAGTGACCCGGATGAATGGTCGTGAATGGGGAATCTCTATCGCGCTCGGTGTTGTGTCTCTTCCTTGGGGAGCTGTGATTCGCTGCATGCCCAACTTTATCTTCGACAAATTCTTCCGTTTCATTCGCCTCATGAGTGATGAGAAGGAAGTGTTGCCCACGGTCAAGCCTGACATGAATGGCTGGAGTGGCGCCGTCGCTATGGTTCAGGACAACCTCAGGACGTTCGCCAACATCCGAGGTGGCCGTCTACGATCGTCATCCTTTGTTGTCAAGAGTCGCTCAGCGCGCATCAG